TCTTTCTTCATTTTAGGCCACCAATAGGTTTACCCTTGTGAATTGTACATGCATGTGGCAAATTACTCTCATTCTCAACTTAGATGATGAAGAGAAGGTCAAAATAAGAGCTTTAATCAAAATCTCCCATGGATTATACATTTTGTGCTCAAACATGCAATTTCAAAACAATTCTTCACATTCATGTGTATATAGACTACCAAATCAACAAAACCAACTCAAATCATGTTAACTCTTACTCTTGATCACCCAACTAGATTGAATACACAAAATCACAAGTTCAAAGTTATGAACTTGGGGGTGATTACTCACCTAGGAGCTTAATCCTTACAATTTATGGTAAATTCTTGAGTGTGCCTTCAAGATCACCAAGCTTTGAGGCCAAAACTCCAATTTCCTTCACCCACTCTCTCTCTAGCCGACCCTCTCCTTTTCCTTGGAGTTTATAATTAGCCAAGTCAAGCTAAAGAAGAGAAATTGAGGGTGTAGTGCTCATATAAAAGCCCCTCTTGTTATATTATTTTAATATATAATAATAGAGCATTAATTCACTAATTAAATCAATTTAATCTTATCCAAATCAATTTCTAATTAAATTTCATCGTAGGCTTTGAAAATTACGCTAATCACAATGGCGTAATCAATTTTGGTTTCGGTGGCCGATAGGGCCTTCAATTTAATTTCCAAAGCAGATAATCAAACAGATATTCCTACAGTGAACAGATAGAAATTCAAAACCACATATGTTCACATAATAGCACACAAAATCATGTTAAACACATAACCATACTCATATTAAGGACCAATTAACATATTGCGGAACAACGATATCACAATGAAGGACTTTAATTTTGAATTGCACAACCACCTGGGAAAGGCAAACGTAGTTGCCAATGCCTTGAGCAGAAATTATATGAGTACGGTTGCTAGCCTTGCCATAAAGGAGTGGAAGATGTTAGGTAACCTAAACGAGTTTGATGTATGACTTGGCGAACCACCTAGTCAGGTTACCTTGCTTTCAATCTTAGCCCAACCAACATTAATTACCCAAGTCTTGGAAGCACAACAAAATGATCCAAAAAGTAGAGGCTATTAGAGAGAAAATCTAGCAAGGAAAAGAGGAAAGGGGATTAAGGGTGCATTATGACTCAAGTATTCGATATGTAGATCATTATTTGTTCCACAATCTTGTAAAGATGATGTATTATGAGACTTCCATCACTCCCACTTTATTATTCATCCTGGAGGTACAAAAATGTATCATGACTTGAGCAGTCAATTTTGGTGGAGAGATATGAAGAAAGATGTCGCTCAATTTGTGTCAAAATGTTTAACTTGACAGCAAGTCAAGGCAGAACATCAAAGACCAGCTAGGTTGTTACAACCCTTACTTGTAGCAGAATGGAAATTGGAGCACATTACAATGGGCTTTGTTGTGGGTCTCCTAAGAACTAATAAAGGTAATGACGTTGTTTGGGTCGTAGTGGATCGACTGACGAAGTTGGCACATTTTCTAGCAATGTGCATGGGTGACTCAGTTGATTATCTAGCTGAATTGTATGTTAGGGAGATTGTTCGGCTTCATGTGGTTCCAGTGAGTATTTTCTTGGATAGAGATCCTCGCTTCACTGCACGATTGTGGCAAAGTTTGCAAACCGTCATGGGAACTCATTTGACCTTTAGCACCGCTTACCATCCATAAACCGACGATCAGTCTGAGCATACAATTCAAATCATAGAAGACATATTGAGGGCCTGTATACTAGACTTCAAAGGGTCATGGGAGAAACATTTACCAAAGGTTGGCATATACCCTGGTATCCCCAATTTGAAGTTCACAAGCAAAATAAACAGAAGTACAGATCATAGAGTCTCCCTAAGGTGAAGACACACATAACATATAAGACAATACTTCCTCAGATTCATCTAAATTTTGCTCAAATAGTTTTGACACAAAAGAATGGGTAGAGCTAGAATCAAACAATATATGAGCAGAATGACCATGAACAATAAATGTACCTAACACCACTGTCGCAGCATTTTGCACATCCTCCGGGACCAATGCAAACACCATGCCTTGTCTTGCAGTGTCTTTATTGTTAACAGACTTAGCAGCTGACTTGGTGTTGGGAGCTGGTGTAGACCCTGCTAAACTTGTAGCAGCCTTGTTACCATTTTGTTGATTCTGTTGAGGACAATCCTTTACCAGATGACCAGTTTTACCACACCTAAAACATGCTCCAGACAACCGATAACAAGTATCACGGTGCTTCTTTCCATATTCTGAACAAACAGGAGTTAAATCTGAAGCAAAGGTGGAAGTACTAAAAGCCCCTGAATTCTATTTCTTGTTTGGTAGAGTGATTGACCTTTTGACAATTGACTGTTCTGCCTTTTCCCTTTCCACTTGGAAATCCAATTCTGAGCAGCAATGTTTCCCTCTGTTATAACAGCTCTTTCCAACACATCAACATAGGTGGGTAGCTTCAACTTGTTGACTTGGTCAAGGATGGCATTCCGTAGTCTGCCCTCAAATTTCTACACTTTCTTATAGTCCGTATCCACCATATGAGGTGCAAACCGAGCTAGTTCCGCAAATTGGGCTTCATATTCCGCAACGATTTTGTTTCCTTGCCTGAGGGTTTCAAATTCTGTCACCTTTTTGTCTCGCATACTCTGAGGAAAGTACTTGTCATAAAACAGTTCCAAAAATCTGTCCCATGTTAAGCCTTGATGCACAGTTCTCGTAAGCATCCACCACCTCCATGCTTCGTCTTCAAGAGTGAAGGCAGCAAGTTGCACTTTATGAGCTTCGGTACAAGCAAATACTTTGCACAGCTTTTCTATTCCCAACACCCATGCTTCAGCTTTCATCGGTTTTATTCCTCCCTTGAATGAGGATGGATTCATCTTCTTAAATTCCCTCGTAAGCATGATAGTTCGGTCCTCAGCATGAAAATCTTGTACCACGGGTGGAGGTACCGATGGTGGTGGCAGTTGTGGTTGTGGTTGCTGCTGTTGCTGCCGTAAAGTCTCTGCCATTTCCATGATCAATCTTTCCATTCTGGCCAACCGTGCAGAAGTAGCATCTTCCGGGTCTTATGTCCTTGTTCTCACCATATTCTACATAATATTCAATTACAACGTACACAAGGAAAATACAATAAACATGGATCATAATCGTTAGCGTTAGCAGATTAAAGTTAACGTTGCCATCAATCTTTCCATATGCATTCAAAATATTATGCATGATGCCTAAGTCTTTTCTAGACATCCTAAGGCTCAATGGATTCGTGTGTGAGATAGCAACTCGTGCTCTGATACCACTTGTCACACCCCTGAACCCGCCTCTAAAAGTTTGGGCACGACCACTTTGGAAACAGACATAAAACCCGATATGTATAACATATGGGGCCTGAACGGAAGCATTAAACAACACAAAATAACATCCATTGAGCTAATACTAACATGCCAGGATCATACATTTAATATCGGTAGTTCATCAAGTGATAAACATACCCACAGCTATATATATATATATAGATATATAGACCCATCCCCGAGTCTGGGGATGTAACAAAACTGAGTTAGGAGAAGTTAATTATGTTTTACAATAACCGACAAAAGGTTGGGTACACGAAGCAAAAAGCTCTGCAAGGACTCCACAAAAAGAATGAGCTTCGTCTAAGGGCTTGGTTGTGGTGTAATGGCAAAAGACAAGTGGTCCAGGTTGGGCTAGGACTGACCTCCAGACTGAGTACCTACAGAACAAACATAACACAAGGTGAGCGATGCTCAGTGAATAATAGTACGTAAACAATCCAATGATTAACTTGAATTACAATGTATATAAGTGCAGAGAACTTATGGTTAATCTTATTCTGTAATTATTTCCAGGACGGCCTTAGGCCCAGTCTTTAAACAGAGTGGCTTTAAGCCCAGCAATATCCAGAACGGCCATAGGCCTAATAGATTTTACAGATTGGCCTTTGGCCTAACAGACTTTACAGATCGGCCTCTGGCCTAACAGCCTTTACAGATTGGCCTCTGGCTAGATATTAACAGAGCAGAGTAATTCCAGAGTGATACGGATGTACACAGATTCTTTCAACATTCACATAAGTTCACACCGATTTCCAATCAATATAAATGTTAATGTTATTACTTGCGAAGAACAGAGTGTTAATAACAATAATTATTAATGGTAAGTAAATGTACATCCACGGTACTATTACTCACAATGTTGTGGTGGAGCGACAGTCACTTCCAATATAATCCCTACATACATGCACAGTTCAGAGATTAGTTTATTTTTCGTTTAAAACAATATCTGAGTCGTTGAATTTCAACCGAATTTATAAACATTGAGGAGGCATCAAATACGGATTTTGATAATACCAGAGGGCTAAACATATAAAATGGAGCAGACAAAAATTTCCAGCATGAGCCTCACATGTGGCTATGAGCCCCGCACGTGCGGCAATGAAGCCCCGTACGTGCCTTTTTAGTAGTAGCCAAAGACCCAAAATGCTCTGTTTCCCGCACGTACGGCCATGAATCACGCACATGCAGCGATTTGCCCTGTTTTGTGCAGTCCGAAATACAACACATCCTCACCATGGCTAATGCAATACAAAGTCTAAATTGGAGGAGTTTGGGACATTTTGAAGGCATAACATTACTTTTAACATAAATCAAACACAACCAACTCTTTCCTCCTTCAAAGCTACAATTACAACTCAATTCTCTTTAACATATCACATTATATATATGCAAAATTATGTGGCTCAACATACAAACCAAACAATAGGATGTAGTCGCTTTGTATAATACCAAACTAGTTCCCAATACACTCAAGTAATAAAATATATTCCAAGTTAAGTAGTGACCACACACAAGATGTTCACCACAAACCCTAGTTCTCAAAATAAGAGGGGAATTCCTTACACAAATCCAAGAGAGAGATCATTTAAGGTTGATCAACATACCTTGAGTTTTAATCTCTATAAGCCCTCTCAAATTCCTCAATCTTCTTTCTTGAAGAGCCTCCCCTCTTCCTCTCTAACTTTCCTCTTCCAATTTGCACTCGGCAGATATTTGAGTTAAAACTTATTTCCATGTCAATGATCAAAGAGGCATATATATACATAGTATAAAAAGGTTGAATAAGACAAAACTCAATCAGTTTAATCATTCCAAATTGAAATTTCATAGAAAATCATTTATGACTTAAAAATCATGCCGATCTCAAATGTAAAATCAATTTCAGATTATTAAGCTTCTAAGGCCTTCAATTTCTATTCTAATCGTCTTAATTGCAACAGATTTTCCTCCTAGGTAACAGATATAGTTCCATAACCATATTTTTCACACATTTAAGTTCAAGCTCACACGGGATTCCACATTGGCCAGATAATTACGTAGTATAAGGGAAATAAAGTATACCAGAAAGCATATAGAGGGTCAGGTTATTACGTAGGTGGTGACTCTGTATCTGGCAAAGCAGTCCAACGTTGGCATTATTTGATTTAAAATTGATTTTCCAAAAAGGTTTGCCAGATTGGATTCTTTGGTGTTTATCGGTTTCACATTGCACTTGTGAGACTAGATTCAGAATCGCGGGAGTCCCAACTGTGAGGCCTTCTTTTCAAACCTTTCCGAAAGGCGGGGCGTGAGAGAAAGGCGAGTCCACAGTTTCTGGCGACTTTGCTGGGGATTTAGAGAACTTGACTTGAACTCATGATATGCTGTTTTATTTACACTTATGTGTTTCTTTGCATTTGTATTTGCATCAATGTGCTTAAGTCACAGTGTTTGCCATCTGCTATTCCTGAACAGTTTGCCGGAGGCTTACTTGGAAAAGCTTGCCAAAAGGCTGACCGGTTGCAGGCTCTGCCAGGATGGGAACACAACCCTTGGATCTGGGCTACCGCTATACTGTTTGATCCTCCTTTCACTTCTCGGTGTTAGGTGTGAGAGGTATATTAGGTAGTCTTATTGGGGCACCGATTTTGACCACTCGACCTAGTTGCATATCGGAAGCCATAGAGACCATTCCAAACTAGGACAAGTTGCTCACTCGAATACAGGATTTGTTTGAAACCGCTTACTTGCGTAGTGAACCCCTAGTTCCTAACGAAATTAGGACAGGGTAACCCTACCCCATCATAAGGGTGTTTTGGCTCTCATTTGCTTGATATGTGCTTTTAGAGTGAAACTCTGCAGGAATGTATGTATCAGCTGCAAGTCTGGTTATCAGTTTGTGGGGCAGAATTCAGTGTAGAGAGCACAGTCATTTAGCTATGCTCATATCTATTCTATTGAAATCAGGCTGAGGTGTTGTTTGTTTTCTCTTTTGCAAGGTAGTCCTAGAACCATAGCTTCAGAAGGCTCTAATATCCCCTGGGTACATTGGACTTGTGTTGATTTGTCAAGTCGGAGATTTAGTTCAAAAGAGCAACTAGTGTTTTGTTCGTTGGCGGCAAGGAAAAGAAAGGCCAAATAGGGCTCACTGGTTCCACTGATCCAACAGTCACCAGTTAGATCACCTTTGTTAAACTCAGCAGACCCGTGATGGCACAGAGTCTGGAAGAAGTTGTGGCCATGATAGCAGCATTAAACTAGGGAATCCCCATGCAGGATAAGACCAATGCTGAAATGCAATGCCCATCTGGGGCACCTACCACACATCCAGTCTCGGGACCCCAGCCGAACTTTGACCCACTTTTGTCAACTAATGATTCACATGGTCTGGATCCTCGAGAAGGGTTGGCTCAAGCTTGAGTTTTCAGACCCCTAGTGCAGCCAGGGAGTGGAAGATGTTAGGTGACCTAACGTGTTTGATGTACGACTTGGCGAACTACCTAGTCAAGCTACCTTGTTATCAATCTTAGCCCAACCAACATTAATTACCCTAGTCTTTGAAGCACAACAAAATGATCCAAAAGCGGAGTCTATTAGAGAGAAAATCTTTCAAGGAAAAGAGGAAAGGGGATTAAGGGTGCATTCTGACTCAAGTATTCGATATGTAGATCGTTTATTTGTTCCATAATCTTGTAGAGATGATGTATTATGAGACTTTTATCACTCTCGCTTTATTATTCATCCTGAAGGCACAAAAATGTACCGTGACTTGAGCCGTCAATTTTGGTGGAGAGGCATGAAGAAAGATGTGGCTCAATTTGTGTCAAAATGTCTAACTTGTCAGCAAGTCAAGGCGGAACATCAAAGGCCAGCCAGGTTGTTGCAACCCTTACCTATAGCAGAATGGAAATGAGAGCACATTACGATGGACTTTATTTTGGGTCTCTCAAGAACTCAAAAAGGTAACGCTGTTTGGGTCGTAGTGGATCAACTAACAAAGTTAGCACACTTTCTTGCAATATGCATGGGTGACTCAGTTGATTATCTAGCAGAATTGTATGTTAGGGAGATTGTTCGGCCTCATGGGGTTCCAGTGACTATTGTCTCTCACAGAGATCCTTGCTTCACAGCAAGGTTGTGGCAAAGTTCACAAACTGTCATGGGAACTCAACTGACTTTTAGCACCGCTTACCATCCTTAAACCGATGGTCAGTCTGAGCGTACAATCCAAATCTTAGAAGACATGTTGAGAGCCTATGTACTAGACTTCAAAGGGTCATGGGAGAAATATCTACCATTAGTTGGGTTTGCCTATAATAATAGTTTTCAAACTAGTATTGGAATGGCACCTTTTGAGGCTTTGTATGGGCATCCATGTAAATCCCCCGTGTGTTGGACCGAAGTAGGAGATTCACCCATGTTTGGTCCAGATTTAGTTCTTGAGACCACAGAAAAGATAACTCTCATTTGGAGGAGGCTAATGACAATGCAAAGCCGGCAAAAGAGCTACGTAGATAAAAGGAGACGGCTTTTATCCTTTGAAGTAGGTGACCATGTATTTTTGAAGATATCTCCTAGGTAAGGTTTGATGAGATTTGGCTGAAGCGAAAAGTTATCACTTAGATTCATCGGTCCCTTTGATATCATTAAGCGAGTAGGAGAGATTGCCTATCACCTTGCTTTACCTCCATAGTTATCCG